GCTGGGGATGCTCTGCAGGTTTCACTGGCATTTGTCCAAAGGTAGTTGAATTTGCTAATGCCAACCTCCTGAGTCCCTCCCCTTGCCACTGGAGCCCAGGAACCACACTGGCAGCCAGCCCAGCCTCTGCAGCTGCATGAATCGAAGATGCCAGGCTAGACCTCTGCAGTTCACCCCCGCCACTGTGCATGCACTTGACAAAAGCCCCTCTACCTGTGTACTTGCATGCCACAGGCCTGACGCCTGTCACCAGACTCCACTATTATATGGATGTCCATGGGGAGACTGCAGCCAAGGCAGAGCATGCCAGTGACCTGGGACCACGCAGCTGCCTGAGGGCCTGGATCAGGCTCTGTCTTCGGTCACTGGCTTGCACCAGGGCACTCACCTGCATCTAACCCCTCCAAGTGTATACCTGTGTGCCCTTAGCCCAACCCCAGGTGGGCCCCACTGCCACATGCTGGTGGTGAGACCCAGCAGCCATGGGAGTGCATCAGCCAGCCAGGCATACACAGTCGGACCTGGCCCTGGCCCTTGCTTCCTGCCCTGGTCCCCACCACTCCATGTGTGTTTGCAATTACCCCCTGCCACTGCAGGCGCCAGCAGCAAGCCCCCACAGCTGCCTGTGTGCATAGATCCAGCCACCACTGCTGCTTGACCTGCTAGCAGCTGGATCTGGAGACACTGCTGAGGACCCCAACAGCCCTTGCAGTCTCTCTGGACTCCCAATATCACTTGTCCAGGGCTGTGGACCCTGACGGACTGAGAGAAATGAGTCACCATGACCCCCGGTCCTGATGCCACCAAAAGGAGCTCATCACCACTAGACCTATGTATAAGAAATGCTGAAAGGAGTTCTTCAAGCTTCAGTAAAAGGATGTTAACTAGTAATAGGAAAATAAAATTATATTCCAACAAGTTGAATAGCTTAGAAGAAAAGGATGAATTCCTAGAACCATATGATCTACAGAGTCTGAATCATGAAGAAACAGAAAATCTAAATAGACCAATAACAAGTAAGGAGATTGAATCAGTAGTTGAAAATCTCTCAACAAAGAAAAGCCTAGGACCAGATGGCTTCATAGGTGAATTCTTCCCCAATTCTTATGAAACTCTTCAAACACTTGAAGAAGAGGGAAGACTTTCAAACTCATTTTATGAGGCCTACATTACTCTGATGCCAAAGCCAGATAAAGACATTACAGGAGGGAATTCCCTAATGGTTCAGTGGTTAGGACTTGGCACCTTCACTCCCAGGGCCCAGGTTCGATCCCTGTTCAGGGACCTAAGGTCCTGCAAGCACTGCAGTCCAATTTTTAAAAAAAGAGACATTACAGGATATAGACCAATATCCCAAAGATCAGATGAATATAGATACAAAAATTCTCAACCAAACACTAGCAAACCAAATTAAACAGCATATTAAAAGGATCATTCACGGTTATCAAGTGAGCTTAATCCCTGATGCAAGAATGGCTCAACATAATGCAAATCAAAATGAGTAAATTTCGGAGATGTTAATATACACATCAGTGACTACAGCAAGCAACTTGAAGTATTCTTGAAAGTTGCTGTGAGAGTGGAGCTTTAATGTTCTCACCAAAACAATGACAACAAAATGGTAATTATATGAGCTAAACGATGAGCTAAAGCTAATAAACTAGCCCTGTAGTTTTAAACATCTCCTAATATAAATGTGTCAAATCATCACATTGTACAGCTTAAACTTACACAATGTTATAGGTAATTAATATCTCAATAAAGCTGGAAAAACGCACCAACACACATTCATTCTCTTACAATTCTAGAGGTCAGTAGTCTGCAATCAGTTTCTCTGGGCCAAAATCAAGGTGTCTGCCTCCTCCTGAGTCTCTTTGGGAGAATCTAATTAGTCATCTTTTCTAGCATCCAGAGCTGCATCTTTGTTGACACCTTTCTCTATCATGAAAGCCAGCAGTTAGCATATTGCTTCAGTTCTCACAGCAACGAAGACTCAGCACAGCCAAAAAGAAATAATAAATACATAAAATTATTAAAAATAAAAATCTTGGATCTGTCCTCTTCACTCCATCTCCCTTCCACCAACTGTCTAAGTCCAAGTTACCACCCCCAGCTGACATTCAGCAGTCACCTTAACTGTCCACTTGCTTCCACTTCTCTGTCCCAACTGCTACCACTCCCACCAAGCGCCTCTCTCCCTTGGGTAGCTCTAGACTGAAATTCTCTGCTCTCTTAGTTTTTTTCTCTAAACTTTCTTTCTTGAGATTTGTTAATGGAAGCTATATTACCAGTTCCTTGGGGGAAGTCCATTAATCTCACCCGCTGCATATGAATTTTACTGGTTTAACTCTCTTGAGTAACCTTATTTCTCAGATCTGCAGGAAACCTCATGGCTGCTTTTGTGGTTGTTTTTTTCTTTCTTTCTCTTGTTGTAAATAACCAGGTTTGAGTAATTGAATACTTGATGACAAAACGGAGAAATCTGGAAATCAAAGATTTTATAACTGTTTTGACCTTTGGAACACCAAGGCCTTGCAACACACTTATTTTTCTTGTTAATGCACTGGGTAAAATTCCAGATCTGTAGTGACCCAGTATCACTGAAGGATGTTCCCCCTTTCTCTGGATACGTGACCCCAGAAGATATGCATCCTGTGATTTAATTTTTAAATTTCAAATTAAATTTTTCTGGCAGAATTCTATTGACAAGTTGTTGAAGTTGTATTCAGCGGAAAGAGTGCCTAAAAGTGCTGTGCTGTTTGGGAAAGTTAGGCCCAGGCCCAGAGAAGCTGTGCTAAGCAGGCCAGCAGCAAAGGCAAAGCCAGCATTTTATCCTTTATTCAGTAAAATGCCTAAAAAGAATCTATTCCTCACCACTGTGAATGCTGGTCTCTCTTAGGAAATTACATAGAAAGATGACAACTAGTTGTTTAAATGCTGTAATAAGGACTTGCTTTTTTTTTTTTTTTCTTAAAAATGTCAATTTCTTAAGAATCTTTATCAACTCACCATGTTAACTTTTCTATAAAGGGCTCTAGTCATGGAATATATTTTTAAGTGTATTTCTTGGACTTCCCTGGTAGCACAGTGGATAAGAATCCACCTGCCAATGCAGGAGACACAGGTTCTATCCCTGGTCTGGGAAGATTCCACATGCCTCCAAGCAATTAAACCCCTGAGACTGTGTGCTGTAACTACTGAAGCCCGCACACCCTAGAGCCTGTGCTCTGCAACAAAAGAAGCCACTGCAATGAGAAGCCCACTCACCATTAGTAGTCCCTGCCCACCACAACTAGAGAAAGCCAACGCAACAGCAACGAAGACCCAGCACAGCCAAAAAAACAAAAAGTATCTCCTGCCCTTCCAAATCTCTTGGTCTTCAGCTGACAACCTTCAAGAGAGTTTCAAAGTGCTGTGGCTCGGGAGAAAACAAATACCGCTCCAAGTGTGGCAGTTGTGTCATTATTTTAGTGAGTTTTGGTTCTGATGTTCTATTTTCTTAAAACTCAAGAAGTGTCTACTTCAAGTAGCCTTCAGCTCTTAAGCCATTCCTGAGGCTTTCTCCATCTTCAGCTTTACTCATTGGAAAAACTTTCTGGGAGACTGTGATGAAATGCTACAAGGCAAGAAGGTGAAGCTGAGTTTTAAATTCAGGTGCATGAGTGAAGGTGAGCAACCCCACCCCCTAGTTAGTCACCTCTCCACAGCCTGCTCAGCAGAGTGCAGGAACAGCCTGGGGAACCAGGCAAGTACAGCCCAACCTTGTGGGAGGTGTCTCAAAGCAAAAACATGACTGATTCTGTAAGTCCCCTACAAAATCCATCCCATTGCCTTGTTATACCTTGTAATACTTCCCCCCACACACACACACTTCCCTTTGTGTCATTACTGTCATTCCAAAGTCTGACCCATGTTCATCATCAAATATTCTTTTTTGAGCTCCTTCATTGTATAGACCAGTTTACCAGGTTCTGTTTAAGAAATGAGGCCTTAGCCCCAGTTGGCTTCCAGTACATCTAAGGAAGGGATGATTACTAGTGAAAAGACAGGCCATGCCCCATATGTGAGGCACGGAGTAGGTGCCACACTGAGACATCTTCAAGAAATAAGGTGCTGGGGAACGTGTCCAGGAGTAGGTGAGAGGATCTGGTAGAGCATCTGGAGGAGGAGAAAAGGCGTAAGGAATGAAATCCATACACTGTCTTCAAAGTCCTCAAAGCAGGGTGGGGTCTTTGCAGACTTAGGCCTCCCCAGAGGGCAACTCTCTCCCCTTAGAGTTAAACTTCACTGTTTCTTGAAGAGGAGAGAGGCTTAAAGGAAGAATTTGGGCAGAAATCCTGCTTCTAATGTAAAAAGCAGAGCTGGGTAAGAGAAAGGGATTCACAGATTCCACTGCATGGCTTCTTTACACAGATGCATCAGGCCCACAGGGTGACGTGCTGTTTCATTCATTCACTTCTGGTGCCAGGAACTTTTCTGGATTCTGGGGATATGCGGCCAACATAGACACTGCATCAGTGCAGCACCTGTTCTCCACTTGTAGACCATTGGCCACCTGCAGCCTCAGCATTCTCAGTGCTAATAATACAGACCCTAAAGCCTCAGTTGAGACTAGACTTACTGGATCAAAATCTCTGTGCTGGTCCTGAGAAACTGCCCCACACTGCCCATCCTCATTACTCGGCAGCTAAAGCTTGAGAACTCTGGTCTGAGGGGTACTGCCTCTGCAGACTACTTTCAGGGCAGACTGGTCCCCTTAGATGTGAGACAGACCAACTGTGCACTGCAGGTGGAGCTGGGTTGGTCTTCTTCACCCCTCCCCACCCGCTTCCGACCTCTCCCTATCCCTTCCCTACCCCCTCCTTTCACTCTCTAACCTTCACACTCTCCCCCCACCCGCTCCCCTCCCCTCTCCCGCCCCCGGCTAGCCCTGGGGAAGGCTAGCCCCGCCCCTCTCCGCTAGCCCCGCCCCTCTCCGCTAGCCCCGCCCCGGCTGTCAGGGACAAGGAGGCCCCTCCCCGGGCAGGGCGCGCGCTCCCAGTCAAAGCCCAGCCTCCCGCCCTCACCCCCAACCCTCCAAGGGGCCGCCAACCAAGCCATCTCTCGAGCTGCGGACTGCGGCCCCGACCCGAGAGGGAGAGCGCGACAGACATGGCGGCGGCCAAGCCCGAGAACCTCTCCCTGGTGATGCACGGACCCGGAGACTTGCGCTTGGTAAAACTGGATCGGGAGTGGGAAGACTAGTCTGTTCCTGCCCTACTCGCCTCCAAGCCCAGCCGCGGTCTCAGCTCGCCAATTCCAGCGCGGTGCGGGCCCTACACTGCGCGTCCTGGCCTGGCGATCGAGCTGGTTACCATGTTGGGGGGAGGGGGACAGTTGGCCGTTGGTTCAAAGGTGCTGTGAGCAGGGTTCTTGTAAGGTGCCTCCTGGAACCTAGCCCCGTGGCCGGCACGTGGCCAGAGCCCAGGAAGGTTGCAAAATGATTGAAGCCCTCCTTTGCCAGCTTCGGATTCGTAGCCCTGCCCCTTGTCATTGCATTTTGCAGAAGTGATATCAGACAAGCTGCCCCATTTAGGACACGTGCTGGGCTTCTTTCTGGGTAGACAGTGCAGGCAGAAAGAAGGGTCAGAGGGACATTTAAAAACTGTGGAACTCGTATTTAATCTTTCTTGCTTGGGGCTGATCACACACCCTTTGCAGGATTATTATGATCAGCAGAATTCCTAGCACCTAATAGGTACTCCGAAAGTGCCAGCTTCTTCCACCTTTAGTGCCAGCACAGATCTCCATCTCCAGGACTCTTGGTGTCGCCATGACTGTGCCAGATTTCTGGATCTTGATAGTCTTCATGTCTTTAAAGCGCTTTTCTTCCTTACCTCTCTTACACCTGGTTTCTGTTTCAGCCATTTTCCTTTCCATTCCTTCTCCATTGTCTCTTTAAGAGCAATATGTATGTGTCTCCTCCACCCCAGACCCTGCCTCTGTTCCCTGGCTCATGGGACCAAAGTTCTGGGAGCTTCGGAGTCAGCCCTGTAGTTGTGCCAGGGCTCCTTTGATAAAGTCCGTCTCAGATGAAGCTGGGCAGTTGGTATGTGGAACGGGTCCTGTGCCAGCCATCTCTCCTGTTTCCTAGCACTTCATCCCCCTCAAAGAGAATATGCACCAGGATCTAAATTGGAGAGACTTGGAAAATTATCCAACTTTAGTAGTTCTTGACTATTTGATAATCTGTCAAATATGGGGTTTTTATGGGGTTTCTGTCCCCATAAAATGCAAACAGATTGAGTTTGGCAACAATTTCAGAGTTCATGGACTTCCTTTATGGCCCTCCTTCATAGACCCTCTAGAGGTCTGTGGACCCCAGACTAAGAATGCCTGCCTAGAGCCAACTCAGTTGAGGAAAGTGCCATCCCCAAGGTGACAGGCTTCACTAGTTAACAGAGCCCAGAAAAACCCAGAGTTCCAGACTCTTATTCCAGTGCTCTTTCTACTCCCCTTGGAGCCTCCAGCCAAGATCCTGAATTAAAGTGACACTATTAGTTTTTATTGCTGCAAACACCAGATGGTATTAGGAAGAAAGGAAAGTGGTACAGCTATACACAGCTTACAGAGTGTCTCAAACTCAGCCCTGCATCCTACAAACACTTGCTGGGTGAGAGGGATCCTGCTGTGTGCCATACACTGGGCTGGAGGACACAGCCCTGACACCCAAGCTGCTCTAGACCCTCAGACAGATGCACTAAACGATACAAGTGTGAGGGCTTTGCTGGAGGCCACAGAGAGTCAAGGCCTCACAGGGGCCTTTAGCCTAGGGAAGAGGCCCTAGAGGAGATGGGTGCTACTTGAGGACAGAAACTAGGGGACATTCAGACAAGTGGAAAAACAAGTACAAACTAAGGGCAGTACAAAATTGCGTGTCCTCTTTTCTGGTCTTGTAAATGTGTGATGTACCAAATGCTCAGGCTTCCCAGGTGGCACCAGTGGCAAAGAACCCCCCTGCCAGGGCAGGAGACATAAGAGTTGTGGGTTCAGTCCCTGGGTCAGGAAGATCCCCTGGAGGAGGGCATGGCAACCCACTCCAGTATTCTTGCTTGGAGAATCCCATGGACAGAGGAGCCTGGCGGGCTCACAAATGAAGCAGCTTATCACACAGGCACTGAATGACCAGGGCCTGCCTTAAGGAAAGTCAGTGTACCTAATAATAAGCAGAACTGTAATTACAACCCCAGGCTCTCCTTTGCCTTAATTCCTAAACTCAGGCTCTCCCACTGCTCAGCCAGGCTGTTTATGTGGCTCTGTAGAGCTAAGCATTGAACACGGAAGAGGGTGGGGAGGCTCACCTAGAATTGGTTTTATCAACTGTGCCTTAGAATCCACCCATTGCCCAAATTAGGGGCTGGGATGGGGTGAGTGTATCCGAAAGAGATGAGAATGTGATAGGAATGTAGCCTGTGGTGGTGGGGTTGGTATACTCACTGGGTGAAAGGCTTCAGGGTGGATTCAGGAAGACCCCAACTCTTGGAGGTGATGGGGTTCGTTTACTGGACAAAAGAGAGTAGATTAAAATGATAAGTTTGGGTTTGAATTTAAGATGTCTCTGGGACAGGACATTTTGGTGTCTCTGAGAACCTCCCAGATTCCTCTGTCCATGGGATTCTTCAGGTAGGAATACTGGAATGAGTTGCCGTTTCCTTCCCCAAACACGTGCAACCCAACACAGACCCTTCTGGCCCTCACCACTCCCTCCTGAGCATGCTTGTCCCCCAGAACCTCCATAGGAGCCAATCTGGTGGGATATATCTGCCCTTGCACCGCCTTCTTTAAAGCAGATAGCCTAAGTGGTTTGGGGTTGAGTTGGGAGTAGGCATCTCAGTGGCCACTTGAAACTTGTGGCCTGCCTACCAGGAATGAAACCTGATACCCAGCCTTCCTCTAACCTGTCTGTGAAAAAGGCAGGATTCCCTTTTCTTTCTCCAAGCTGTGGCTGCAGGGAAGGAAAAATTAAACCCCTCCACTATTAGGTAACTAGTGATCACCACAGTCACAACAAGGGAGGAGTCAGTACTCCTTGGCCTGGGGACTTGGGCCTCTGCTGTGGTTTGGGCTCTGGGGTGTTTGTGTAAATCAGAGTGGGAGTGTGCACACACATATATACTGAGAGATTGCGGGTTTCTTTATAATTCCTTATAATAAGGACTTAGAACGTTCAGATTGCGGGTTTCTTTATAATTCCTTATAATAAGGACTTAGAACGTTCACTCCTTTACTCTCCCTTACCCCCACCATTTTAAATAGAGAACATGTGGACTTGAAAGAAACAGTGGAAGAGGTGACCAAGCTGAGGCACAGAGACAAACAGCAAACACTGTCAGCTCGCCGAGGTCCTCTTCAAATGGAGACAGTAATGAGATCACAAGCCCAGTAGGGGCCAGAGTGGCCAGCAGCTCTACTGCTTCTGGTTGTGTGACTTGCCAGATTACTTTCCATTTCAATTTCCTGTCTTTATAATGGGGATGATAGTAGTGCTCATTTCAGAGTTGTGTGAGAATTAGATAGTATTGGAGAGCAAGAAATTTTCCTGTACCCTTCTAGGTTCTTCTGGCTGGTCTGAGGTAGGACCTTGACATGAGAAAACCAAACAAAATTTTATAAAACATGCATACATGAGAGAGACCCAGGAAAACTGAGAAACTTGCCAAAATGGCCAAAGCCCTCACCTTAACACCATCCACAGCTAAAGAGAAAGGAATGAGTGAAAAAAAAGAGAGAGAAAGGAAGATGTTGAGGGTAGGGAGAGTCAGTTATGGGAGGTTGCCAGGGAAAGCTCAGAAAACAAGGGTAAGGTTGTTATACAGGTTTAAGTCATTGCCTTCTCCACTGACGAGTTTCAAGAGATTTGGTCATCTTCCTTTATTTGGTATATTGAGGGAGATACACTTATAAATGAAGATTTTCCTTACAAATGTGTCACTTGGGTTTTCAGAACTTATTCAAAAATAACCAGCTTAAAATAATTAATATGCCCAAAAGACACATTTTGGGATGGTAAATTTTGCACCCTTACAGAATTCTTTCTCTGAATTATTATTTCATGGACTTGGGATATAAAATAGTCTAATTAGTTTTTCCCCAAAGAAGCTATTTGAGGGATAGTTTGTGTTTCCCCAACTATCTGAGATAAAGGACCAATTTTATTTTTGTTTCCAGTTGGTCATGGATCAATATGTTTGTATCACTGCATTTGGATGTTGTAACAATGTCAAAATGCTGTAAACATTTCTAAATGCCCCTGCCAATAATTTCTGTACATATTGCATCACCTATCAGCAGCAGTCCATCGACCATGCTGAGAACACGTTATCTCCCTTATTATTGCCGACCGGCTCTTTCAGATTTCAGACAGGAGTCTGGGGACAGAGGAAAACAAGAACAGCACAGCCCCCACCTGGTGGAGGGGATGTAGTCAGATTCTTTTGTTTATGATTAGCTATGTGAAGAGGGAACTGGTTAAGGGAAAAGAATCATTTCAGAGTGATGGGTTGATGTTGTTTAATTATAAAGGGCAGAGAAAATAGTGCATCAGCGTCGAGTTTAAACATTAATCAGAGCACCTTGAAGATATTTCTTAGTTTTTGCTCTGTGAGGAAATGTGTTATATCTGATGTCAAAAGAATTCCTCTGAATCTATATGATATTTTAAAAAGAAAGATAATTCTGCGTCTGTAATACACATTCTTTCTTACATATACACTTGCTGTTAAGATTTTGGGTGAGGAGGAGAGGACTGTAGAAAGAGGAGAGTGTGAGCACACGGCAGCTGGGTGGTCCTAAATGTCAGGTCCCTCTCCCTAGTTTTGCTACCAGTGGGCCGAGCTGCCAGCTTCTATAGGATTAAATTAAAGGGCCCTGAAAGGCTTAACGGAACAGCTGGGCTAAACTGGGAGAGTACTGTGAGTGAGGCTGCTTAACCCTTTAATACCTGAGCTAGACTTATCAGTCAGAGGCAGTTGAAGCTGAATCTAAAACTCCTTCAGAAAACTGGAAAATGGGGTAGTAGCAAATAGGCCAAAGAAATAGCTCCTTTCTTTTTTTTAATCTTGATTATGTTCCAACAATAAAACAAAACAAAACCAGATAAGAACAGGCAATAAAATCCAGCAAATACCGCCATCTGTGCCAACATGATGCCATGGAAAGGCAATGCCAAAGGCCAAATGCAAAAGGCCAGGAAGTACAAAGCTAACATTTTTCCCCTAAAAGCAGGAAGAGCAGTAAACAATACCACAAACAGGATTTTAACATTTTATATTATAAATCCTAGTGCTACTAAGAAACCTGGTAAAAGTAACCCTGTTCTGGTAGGAAAACTAGAATTATAGGTGGGTGTGGGGTAAATTTCTTTCAAACTTGCATGACAGAGAAATTAAGGAGGGGAAATGTATACTCATATATAACATTGATGTCCACTTCATAAGTCTTTTAGTGTGGCTGTTAAAGCTGGCAGTTTTCCCCAAACCAAATTTACATGAAGCACATTAATTATTGGAGAAAATATGGTCAGATTTTGTGAAGTGATATTCAGCTCAATAATTTTTTAGAAATGTTAATGTTCAGTTACCTAGACCTGAACACAATGAGCACTTAATGAGTAAATAAAGAACCACCTAATAGCTTCATGTGTAGTTATGTCCATACATTTTGAATCAGGAGGAATTTTTTTTAAGTTTATCACTGCTGAGAATCTTTTAACCATCGTGTATGGATTCAGTTGTAGGTGCTCTGGAAGCTCAGGGGAGGGAGGGTGGTGGGGATAGAGAAAGTTTTTTTGCAGGAGGTGACTGTTTCTCTCCATGTTCATGATTCAGCCGTGCCAGTCCCAGGGGTACAACCATCTATTGAACAGCCCCACCTGGATGTCCCTGACACTGCAGTCTATACACACCCAAACCTCAAATCTCCCTGAGTTCCCACAGGAATTAGGAAGCCATTCCAGATGACTGTCTTCCCCTCACTTCTCACTTCCTGTGGGATCTCAAGGAAGAAGAAAGAGGATTGACCAGTGGAGAAATGGCCACCTTGAGGTGAGGGAGTGAGTATGGGATGGTTTGGGAATTGCAGGAGGCTTGCAAGGAGGTAGATAGCCTGCAAAATGAGGGGGTTTAGGATTTTGCAGGATCACTGGGCACTTTAAATGAATTTGCAATTTAGAAAGATTGTTATCAGCAGAAGGCTGGTTGGAGCCCAGAGAGCCTGGGCTGGAGGCTGGAGACCAGCTTAGTGAACTTTGCAGGAATGTCTGACCCTTCTACTTTGACCTCAAGTTTGCCAGGACCAGTGCCGGCTAGAACAAAGCCTCTTAGGGTAAAGTGGCCAAATGGAAAGCCTTTGAATTTTCCTCATACCTTCAAAACACCCTTCAAGCACTCAGGGGAGGGGGAAAGTTGAGGAGTGAGGGAAGCAAAAATAAGATTGTCTGCTCTGGTCTCCTTAAGGGTGCAGGGCAGCCAGCCAGCAGGTTGACAGGAGACCTGGCTGGTAGAGCAGGTGGCAAAGGTTGGCTGCAAGGGCCTGGGATGAGAATGGCCCCTTTTTCCCAGCCGTGCCTGTTGTCCCTTACTCTGAGGCAGGGGGCACGGTCTGTACACTCAACTGTTAGAATCAAGCCAGAAAAATGCTGGAATCCTACTTGACTTTTCTTCTAAATTCCAGCCTTTTCAGAAGCAGTCAAGTTCTCTTAATGTTGGCATGAGAAACAAGAAATACAACTTTTCCCCAAAATAGTTTTAAAAGTTACCCTTTCAAAAGAAAAAGGACATGGTTGTCTAAAGCTGGTTCAACCATGTCGTGAGCTGATTATACAGAAAGGATTTTGATTTTATTTCTTTTGTAATAAGAGCTAACATTTACTACAAGTCAGGCACTCTTTTTTGTTTTTTTCTTTTTGGCTGAGCTGCATAGCTAGTGAGATCTTAGTTCTCTGATCGGGGATTGAACCCAGGCCCTTGGCAGAGAGAGTTTGGAGTCAGTGGACCACTGAGGAATTCCCAAGGGTTCTCTCTTTTATGATTATCTTCATTAGACAGAGGAAGAAAATTGAAAGCACAACGATGTTATGTAACTGCCCCAAGGACACACAGTTCCTGGAGGGGAACCTGTATTTCAACACAGACAGGTGATTCCAGAGTCATGTTGGCTAGAGGAGGGGGTGGGCACCTTCTCCTAATTTCTCCTCATCTTGAGATCATTGCTACCATCCAGGCAAGACGTACTCAGATGGACAACTGGAAGTTGAGGAAAGGGGGCCAATAGGGCATATTCAAGGAATATATATTTAAGCTAATTTGAGAAAATATATTTAGGAAAGGCAAGATAACATTTCAGATGTGAGATTCCCCTGAGATAATTCTGTGTTCCCACAGAGTTCTTCCTGAAGTATTTCCATGATTTATTTGTGGAGGTGGTGGAGGGGGAAGACCTGAAGGGCATAGAAGGGACTCAAAGTGAAAATGCTGTAAAACTTACATAACTCAGTAAAGAATGTTACTCAACTCCTTTCTATCCCCTGGTTACTATCACTCACAGAAAGATAAGAAATCCTGTTCAAGAGACTTTGAATATGCATGATGACAAACCTTTGGGAATGAAGAAAGGGGCCAGGGTTAAAAGTGAAATTTCGAGATCTCAGAGGAGCTAAGAAATTTTGATACATGAGAAATAGGATAAATTAATATCACCGCCGTAATATGAGACAGAAAAGGAGATTAAGTAAACAGGATTTAGCCAACATCATACCAAGGAACCAACCATAAATGAAAAGCAAGATTTTTTTTAGTAACCATGCTGTAATAACTTTCGAAAACATTGTGAGCCCTGCAGCCACGCTTAGGAAAATATTTACAAACTTAAGGACTGATCTTAACATGGTCTTGTGCTCGGGTGGCATGTCTCCTGCAGAGAAGGGAGAGGAGAGCCAAAACTGAGCTGTAAGAGTCTTTAGAATCAGCAGGAAAGAGAACAGAAAAAGACAGATGGTTTTCAGGAAGGGGTATTTAAGTTCCCCATAATGTCTCTTCTGCTACTAAGGAAAAAGCAGGTTATTGGCACAGCACCCTCTAGTGTCCAGAAGAGACACTGCCACTTTGCCCATGTGGTAAGACCAAAGTTGGTGAGCTCTGTTAACTCCCACACAGTTACAGTTGAAATCTCTGGTGACCAAAGAGCAACTTGGTGCTCCTAACTGTTGCTTTGAGTTTGGATCTTACCATCTTTCCATCCAAAATTCCCAGTGCCTGGAAAGTTGCCTACTAGCACCTTTAGAGGGTTGTGGGGGTAGGGAGTGGGTGGGGATGGGGAGGGTGCAGTTCCATGTTTGGAATAAAAAGCCTTACTTAGTTTCATTTTAGCGTGTAATTTAAATTTACATTCCATATAACAAACATAACCTTACACAGCAGTCCCTGATGCTGTATAAGGTCAGGTGTGGGACCAGCAACTTTGAGAAAGATTTTGGTGACAGCCAGCCACCCGGAGTTGCCCGTTTCTAGATGGCTTTCTTCCCTCCCTCCCTTCTCTCCTCCTCTCCTTTCCTCTCTTCCTTTCAAATGTATTAAGAGATGAAAAAACTGCCTCTTGTCCCCACATCATGCTACTTTGGGTGCAGCTCCATCATTTACTTCCTTATTGTTACTGTGAACAGATTGCTGAATCTCCCTGTTCCTCAACCTCATCGTACCAAAAATGGGATAATAATAAAGGCATTACATTACATAGGGTTGTCCTGGGGATGAGCATAGGTGATGCATGAGCAGCATTTAGCACAGGACTTGGCACAAAGAAGCTGGTCAGTGTTAATTAATGATCATGAGCATTAACCCTTTGACCTTTTGTTTCACTGGAGACAGGAAGTTCAAATAAGCATCAAGCTGTTATAACAGAAAAGACTGGTAATCTTGGATGAGCAAGAACCTCAGACTTTCTGTGGAAATACTGTTATGGAGAGTGATTATTTAACAAGTACCAAGCCTCCCAGGTTTGGGGCAGAGCACTGTATCTGGTGCCAGAGATTGAAGGCATAGTCTTTGGCAACAAGGTTCTTATCATGTTAGCAAAATAGTCCTAGGATTATTTATTGCTCCCATAAAAGCATCTGGGTGAGGCTTTGTGAAGGAGGCAAGCTTTGAGCCATGCTTCCATCCAGAGCACTCTGCATTGGGCCCAATTCCAAAATTCTCATCATCTGATTGCTCCTTACATCACCCCTAGAGGAGAAAAGGCAAATTCCACTTTGAGGGTGCAATGGGATGCAATGAGACAGGCTTGGGAGTCAGACACACCTGGGATTAGACCTGGTTTGTCCACTCTGGTCCTATGACCTTGATAAAGTTTTTTAACTTGTTAATCTCAGGTTTCCCATTTGCAAGTGGTGGGCCATGTGCTATGATGTATGTAGAGCCCAGTAGACTGGCACATGGTATGTCCAGTGAACGGTTTATTTGCATCTCCCTCTTTTTGCTTGGCTGCCTTCAAAGAATTAATAAAATGAACATTTGGATTTGGCCACTCACTGTCCTTCCACCTTGTCATTAGGAACTTCCTAGCTAGTTGGCAATGGGAAAAAAGCTTAGTAAATTATCATTATCCTCATCATAAATAGCTGTGAATACCAGATTACTTTTTAACCCAGTGAGCGTGGGCCAAATGAAGGTCCTCTGTGTCCCAGAAACTAAAACTCCACGTGGGAGGTTTTGAGGGAGAGCAACAAGTGTTGGTTTGTGCACTGATTTGAATGAGCGGAGCACACACAGTTTCCAACCTGTCCAGAGACAAAAGCCTTCCTGTGCAACTGCCGGAAACACCTCATCCTTTCCCAGTACAAGTTTGCCAGACCAAATAAAACTACATAAGAAGGTATTATCCACATCCCATATTAGAGACCCAGAAGTATCCTTTCTGCCAGGGTGTGCAAGTTGTATACTTTTTCTTGGTCCATGGCCCATTTCACCAGTGGGCTGGGCGAGATCAGCAGCTGGAGTCAGCAGGATTCAGGGTAGCCCCTCAGACATCCACCCAGCAGCAGGATGGTCTGAATCTGTGTTAATTATAAGAAGAAATATTTGAATGAAACTTTTTGAAATTTTCAGAAGGTAAAGTTGTTGTACATGCTAAATGATTTTTCTATTTTGTTTCCTTTAGGAAAACTATCCTATCCCTGAACCAGGCCCAAACGGTAGGTCCGTGGAATATTCAACTTGTCTTTTATTGTTTCCTGTTGTTTACCCTGGAGAGACACGTACGCTGCTCCTTTCTCTCTCTGTTCCTACTGTTTGTTACTTAAAAACCTCCATTAAAAAACCAGAGGGATGGGTGGGGGAGGGAGATAGGAGGGGGAATCAGGATGGGGGTACACATGTGCACCCGTGGCTGATTCATGTCAGTGTATGGCAAAAACCATCACAATATTGTAAGGTAATTATCCTCCAATTAAAGTAAATAATTTAAAAAAAACTATGCTTTTGTTAGGCTTTCAACCTAGTTCTGTTGTCCACAGTATGACTGGATAGATTCAATCTGGCTGCTATATGAAATAAAAGAAACAGTGATAGAACCAGAGAAGTTACCATATCAAACTGCTGACTTGTCCCAGAGAATTTGACATAAAATTCTTCAGTTTATGGACAAAGGCAAAATTGTCCCTCTTTTGAACTAATGACAGGGTTAGGTTACTCTGTCCTCTATAAACTGCCATTTGGGTGACCAAATCATGTCCTAACTCTAACCCAAACTTTGGAAAGGTGTGAGTCTATAGATCTTAATCTTGTAAATACAGAAGAGGACATCCAGGATGGCCTCCGAAGACCAGGATGTTCTGTCCAGTGGGGATGGGAGGAGCTGCATAGAGCCCTCCCCTACTACCCTAATCAAACAGGAGCAGAAAGTGGGTGAGCACAACTGGGGCAGGGCTCCTGCCACCTTTGCTCCATTCCTTCTGGCCAAACCTGCCCAGCCGAGCTGACCCTCACACTTCCTGGGGTGATGTCTCTACCTGGGGAGGTCGTGCCACTCTCCGAGCTGTGGCAGCTTCCAACCGACAGTTTCCCCATTCCTTTCCTCCCTGGGGTCCTGCAGCAGTAAGTGAGGCAGGTGGCAAGGGGCAAAGTGTCTATAGATCACTCATCCCTCACCCAGCCACTCGGGTCTCTTTCTGTCCTTGATGAGTTGGGTACATGCTTCCCTGCCTAACCCCAGAACTGTAGCTTCTGTGTGAACATGAGACTGAACGCAGCTTTCCTGAAGCCTCTGGAGTTTTGTTACTCAAAGGTCAGTTGGGTTACTGATTTATAGCAATAAGAAGACAGATAATAGCTGTTTCTATCAGTGTTAAGCAAGTAATGTATATTTAAGGCTCAAGTGTGTCTACCGAGATATATTCAGAGAAGTGAAAGGGCACTTCATTGTGTTCTGAAAAGTCGGTGTGGTTTCCAGAAGTGCCAAAAAGAAAGAAAGAAAAGAAAAGGGTTGTTCTGGACCCAGAGGATCCTTTTCACTTTCTCTCTCTGATGCAGCATTCTGCCCTCACTTTCTTATCGCTTGCCGCTCTTGAGTTGAAAAGGGAAATGATGGTAAATTTCAGCTAGCGTTCCAGCATCTCAGATGTAATCTCATGTTATAAATTGCTAACTTCAAGAGAGGAAACTCTGAGATAATTTTCATGACTCAAATGACTTTTCCCTACCTTTGATCCCAGGATGTGCCCTGCCACTTCTTACTCTCTTCACCAAGGATGAGAAAGTTCTATGGAGCCACACCTGGTGGATCTCCCGTGGTTTGTCATAAGGGCAGTGTGTAAGATATCCGAGTGCAGAGCAGAGCTCTGGGCTCTTTGTCTTTCTAGGGCAGAGCTTTTTCTCAGGGAGATACTTTGTAATGTGGTAAACTCGGTCACACTAGGCCAGTAATCCTTTAGGATTTATTTCAGCAAAGGGGCTCAGTTCAATCATTATTTTAAACTTGGAAAACTGACAACAACAATATCACCAAATCTCACTATATTCAAACCTGTGAAGGAGAAATGCCAGTTGAAATCTTTGGATGGTTTAAATTAAAGCTGCACTTTTGAGCAAAACAAGCATGAAGAACTCAGCCTGATAGCCCACAAAGTATTGCCAAACCTGAATTGTACTAGCCTCCTTCTCACGATAGAAGAATCAGGCATGCATGCTCAGTTGCTAAGTTGTGTTGGACTCTTTGCAACACCATGGACTGTAGCCCACCAGGCTCCTCTGTCCTTGGGATTTCCCAGGCAAGAAGACTTGAGTGGGTTGCCATTTCCTATTCCAGGGGATCTTCCCAGCCCAGAGATTGAACCCACATCTGCATCTCCTACATTGGCAGGCAGGTTCTTTATCACTGAAGCACCACCTGGGAAGCTCAAGAATCAAGCATAGCATATTAATTGTCTGGAAACAGTTATCTCCTCAAAAAACACTTTATTTTTCCCGCTTAGGTGGTTGACACACTTCCTCCTACCTTTTATTTGGTGTATTAGAGTTCTCCAGGGAAATAGAACTGAGAGACATTAGTATTTATATTTATTTCTATTAGATTTATTATATAGTGAGAAACAGAGAGAGAGGAGCTGCTTAGTCTGAAATCGGTAGGGATAACCAGCAGGCTGAAAATTCAGGTAAGTCTTGAGGAGAATTCCATCTCCTCTAGGAAACCTCAGACTTTTTTAAGGCCTTCAATTGATTGGAGAAGGTTTATCAACATTATGGAGGATAATCTGCTTTACTCAAAATATACTGGTTTAAATGTTTGTTTTATTAAAGTATTATATAATTTACACATAGCATTATATTAGCTTTAGGTGAACATGATGATATGATATCTGTATATACTGTGAAGTGATCACCACAATGTCTAGTTAACATCTATCATTGCAAATAGCTATTGTATAGTTTTTTAAGATCTGTTCTCTTAGCAACTTTGAAATATGCAACACGGTATTATTAATATAGTCACCGTTTTGTACATTACCTCACTGTGACTTATTAATATTTATTTTATAAGGAGAAGTTTGTTCCCTTTGACCCCCTTTACCCATTTCACCCACCTTCCACTCCTTGCCTCACAACCACCAATCCATTTTCTGTATCTGTGAGTTTGGTAGGTTTTTGTTTTGTTTCGGTTTTAGATTCTGCATATAAGTGAAATCATATCGTATTTGTCTTTCTCTAACTTGTTTCACTTAGCACAATGCCCTCAAGGTCCATTCATGTTGTTGCAAATAGCAAGATTTCCTTTTTAATGGCCAAATAATATTCCATTGTATATATAATGCCACATTTTCTTTGTCCATTCCTCCATCAATGGACACTTAGATTGTTTCCATAACTTGACTATTGTAAATAATACTGCAGTTAACATGAATGTGCTTAAATGTTAATCACATCTAAAAAGTAACTTCCCAGCAACATCGAGCATTTGACCAAAGAGCTGGTCACCTTAGCCAAGCCAAGCTGATGCATAGAATTGGCCCTCACATGCAGTTATTTTGCTGTTTGGAAGCTTTCTTGCCTTGTAAGACTTAGTCAAGCTGCTTTTTAGCTTGTTTTTCTCTGTGATCTAAGTTTTATACCTGACCTTGAAACCAAACCCTCTCATTTGTCCAGAGGAAAAACACCTCAGAGAGACAGAGGGGTCCTTCCCTTTCTCACTTGTTTTCTCCTTCTCCTTTCTCTTATCAGAGGTGCTTCTGAAGATGCATTCTGTTGGAATTTGTGGCTCAGATGTCCATTACTGGCAGCATGGTCGAATTGGAGATTTTGTTGTGAAAAAGCCAATGGTGCTGGGGCATGAAGCTTCAGGAACAGTTGTAAAAGTGGGATCATTGGTCAGGCACCTACAACCAGGTCAGCAAAGCCCTTTTGCCAATGGATTTGTTTATTCATTCAGCACATATATTTTTGTGTGATTTTTCAGGGCCAGGCCCTCTGGCAAACACTGGGGACACAGCAGTGAACAAGACAGTCTCAGTCTCTACATACTTGGATCTTACACAGGGGAAGGCAACTGGGACAGACAATTAATCAAAATTGTGTTGAGGGCAGCAGAGGGGAATCCAGGGTGCAATGAGTGTATACTACTCTCCAGAACCCTGGCTCAGCTGAGGAAGAGACAATTAATTCAACACCTGAAGACAAGTAAGAAATAAGCCAGGTAAAGGGGAGGGGCAGATGTTGCAGCCACAGGAACCACAGAATATCTCTATGTGCTGAGAACCAGGGCCTTCCATGCAGCATTGATTTTATTGGATGGCTTGGAAACCATCGATAATTTTTTGTTGCTATAGTTTAGTCAATAAGTTGTATCTGACTTTGCGATTCCATGAACTGTAGCCTGCCAGGCTTCTCTGTCCATGGGATTTTCCAGGCAAGAATACTAGAGTGGGTTGTCATTTCCTCCTTTAGGGGATCTTCCTGATCCAGGGATCGAGTCCAAGTGTACTTGGCAGGTAGATTCTTTATCACTGAGCTACCTGGGAATTTGCTTAATTCAAGGAGGAATTCTCAGCTACGGCAGATTGCGATGTTCCCCAACACAGTGAATTAAATCCAAGCTGTCTTGGAACAGCCAGCTGTGGCTTTAACCTTCTTTTCCTGGTGAGACCACCTCATAGCCTGGAAACAACAGATTCTCTCTGGGAAGGAGAGAGTTCTCAGGAGGTGTCATCCTGTGTTAGTTACAAGGCCCTCTGAGCCTGGCTGAACCAGGAGGGATCCACTAGCTCTGAAGAAGCTAGGTATGTGTCTGCATTTTGTCAGCATCTAAATCTTACCTTAAGAAACCATAAACAAATATTGAACTGTAGTTATGATATGCAAGCTGCAGTATAATGATATGAAGCTGAGTGATATGTACTTGTATGTGCAGCCTACTTTGAAATGCATTCGAAAAGAAGGTGGATTGATGGGTGGAAGAGAGAGAAATAGATGGGATGGATATGTGATAAAATCAATATAGCTAAATGTTAATTGAAGAAACAGGTAGAGAACGTCTGGGTGTTCATCATACAGTTCTTTCAACTTTGCTGTATGTTTTGCAACTCATGGGATAAGTTGCAAACTCAACTTATCATGGGATAAGTCATGCAAACTCATGACTTTGTTGTATGTTTGAAATTTTTCATACTCAGAAGTTAGAAGAGCCAGTCTAAGGCTGGGTTTCCAAGTGGACGTAGTGAGACATGGAGTAGAAGTACCGTAGAGCCGGCTGTTCACAACCCTTAGTGTTACTCTGATGTACAGAGTCTGAAGCCTCTATGGGTCATTTGCCTTAGTGGTTCCACTAACCAGGAATCAGTTATTGTCTAGGAGGCTGAACACAAGATGTGCCATCATTATGGCTCCTGTCAGCATATTATCAAAACAGGGAAGAAAAAGCTCTGCAAATTCCACACACTAGCTACCTCTTTTGCAGCAGTTTGAGATGGGAACAAAACCTGGCTTGTTGGGACTAGTTATGTTTCCTAAGCTGGGAGGTGGCTATGGAACTGGAGGACTTATCCCATGAGTCGAAAAAAGGGCAGGCAGGCCAAAGCATCCTGTGGAGAAGCGGGCTGAGGTCATTTTCTGACTTCATTTCTGGAAGAAGTCATTTTCTTCCAGAGTGTGTGCCACCTGTGGTATTTGCTTCGGAGACACCAACAGGCTGGGCTTTCCTGGACTACCCTGGGTCCCCAGTGGGGAGGGAGGCTCATTTGGCCAGATCCCCCTGCTGGCATCGACCTATGAGCACGTGACTCTTAACAGCATCTCTGCCCCTCTGTTTGTTTGTTTGGATGTTTTGTTTTCCTCAAGGTGATCGTGTTGCCATCGAGCCTGGTGCTCCTCGAGAAACTGATGAGTTCTGCAAGATTGGCCGATACAATCTGTCACCTACCATCTTCTTCTGCGCCACGCCCCCCGATGATGGGAACCTCTGCCGGTTCTACAAGCACAATGCTAACTTCTGCTACAAGTCAGTGCCCAGGGCCCAGCCACGGCCCCTGGGACCTCTTCGCTGATGTTTGTTTGGTGTTCTTTCTTCTAGTTTTCTGCAGTGGTTTCTTCCTTCTTTTACGCTCATAATTCCAGACATTAAGCATTCTCTCTGCAGGCCTGCCTTTCTTGGATGCATTGAAGACAGGTCACCTGGCTAGGGATAGGACTGACCCTCAGTGCTTAGATTTAGTCATTCAGTCTAACTTTCCCTCAAGTAGAGCAATAATAGAAAATCATTGCTGAAATCAGTCACTCCTCTCCAGCCATCTTGGAGGTAACTCATTGGGATTGTCCTCTGTTATTGGTTTCCACTGCAGTTATAACAAAGATATCTCATAACAATAGGAACCTTAACAACAACAACAACAATGGCAGCAACAACCAGGGTTTACTGTGGCGTAGAGTCACAGGGCATGAGCTTTGGGACCCTGGATCAACTCACTCCAAGTGAGTGACTTTGTGGAAATGAACTTAACCTTCTTCACTTCAGTCTCTTTAACCACCTGGAGATTAAATGCGACCATTCATGTAAAGACGCAGTGATTATTATTACCTGCCTGGCCTTGTGCTATTAAGTTCTCTGCATGGCTTGTTTGACTTCCATAAGAGTGATGGTGAGGTGGACCCCAGGATTATGTGAGAATTAGCAGAGGTAGGAGAAGGCTGATTAGCTTGGACCCAGAACAGAGCCAGAAGTCCAGACAGGGTGGCTGTGATTCTCAGGCTCTTGTCCGGTCCTCACTATCCTGGCTCAGCTTTCAAAGTGATTGGGGAACTTGTGTCTGCCAGAAACGGAGTGCTCCACCTCAGCACAGGCCTGGCCGTGGGGCTCTGGGATGCTGGTGTGCTACTTTCCTTCCCAACCGGCCAAGCGTGTTCTCCACACCCCAGCCTGGCCCCAGCAGTGGCTCTTTTGGCCAAGATGGGGCTTGTCCAGTGGAGTCCAGGACTCGTCACAGGGGCAGTCTGACAGATCTGAGTTTTCTAGTGCCTACTGGAAGCCTTGAGAGGAGTCACAGGCCAGGGGCCTCATGATGTGTTTAAGTTGGCATTTGAGGAGGGACCAAGTTACAAGGGCAGAGTCTGCCTTTGAGCAAGTGGTTCCTAAACCAGCCCACCTTTCCTGGGCCCTTTCCAAGTCAAGGTGCCCAACAAGTTTTTTGTGGAAGGCAGAAGAGCATAGTGATAAAGCTTGAGACTAACCACTGATCTCTCCTATTTGCCAACTGTGTGACCTTGAGCAAGTTAAACTTTGTAATCTCAATCTTCTAGATGGTAAAATGGAAATAATAGCATCAATATGATGAAATACATAGAATTAGTACATTTTAGTGCATTAATTCAATGGGAAAAGCGTATCAGGTACTCAACACAAGGCCTGGCACATAATAGAAGCTCAGTAAACAGTGCCATGACTGCATCATAGCTGTGGCCTTATGTCTGGGGGATGGTACCAGGATAGGCCTGAAAAGGAGTCTTACACTGGGAATGGAGAGCAGGGGTTGTAGGGAAAGGTGGGGAAGGAAGTGTCCTGGTTGGCGATGGCAACGGGAGGGCCATGGAGGCCCTCCAGGGGACACACTACCCCCACTTCTCTTCCTCTGCAAGGGTACTTTGTGTCTGTGTCCCCAGCCTAGCCCTGGATCCACACCCTCTTCTCTTGTTTTTCTTTGTGAGGATTTGCACACCACCACAGCTTCTTTATTTTCCTACCCACCTTATTTTCTATCTTCCTGCTTCCCCCTTGGCTTCTTGATCATTCTTTAACCTTTGCCTCTTCCCTGAATCCCACTGTGAAAACCACCAAGTTGCCTTCTCATTTTCTGGTGTTTCAGTTCAGTTCAGTCACTCAGTCGTGTCCGACACTTTGTGACCCCATGTACTGCAACACACCAGGCTTCCCTGTCCATCACCAACTCCCAGAGTTTATTCAAACTCATGTCCATTGAGTCAGTGATGCCATCCAACTACCTCATCCTCTGTCGTCCCCTTCTCCTCTCGCCTTCAGTCTTTCCCAGCATCTGGATCTTTTCAAATGTATCAGTTCTTTGCATCAGGTGGCCAAAATGTTGGAGTTTCAGCTTCAACATCAGTCCTTCTAATGAATATTCAGGACTGATTTTCTTTAGGATGGACTGGTTGGATCTTCCTGCAGTCCAAGGGACTCTCAAGAGTCTTCTCCAACACCACAGTTCAAAAGCATCAATTCTTCGGCACTCAGCTTTCTTTATAGTCCAACTCTCACATCCATACGTGACTATCGGAGAAACCATAGCCTTGACTAGATGGACCTTTGTTGGCAAAGTAATGTCTGTGCTTTTTAATATGCTGTCTAGGTTGGTCATAACTTTTCTTCCAAGGAGTAAGTGTCTTTTAATTTCATGGCTGCAGTCACCATCTGCAGTGATTTTGGAGCCCCAAAAAATAAAGTCTGCCACTGTTTCCCCATCTACTTGCCATGAAGTGATGGGACTGGATGCCATGATCTTAGTTTTCTGAATGTTGAGCTTTAAGCCAACTTTTTCACTCTCCTCTGCTATTTAGAAAATCATGCTTCCAGTGTTTAGAAAATCAGGAACAGTTAGAGTTGGGAAGAAACTCATCCCCTTTCCCTCAGCCTTCACCTAATAAGGTTGGGGAAAGAGGACCAGCAGCTCTTCCCAGGTCTGTGGCAAAAGGACTGCTCCAGGGACTCCGGCTCTGACTATGTGTGATAAGGCAACATTTACCTTATCAGTGGAATAACCAACAATATCAGTGGAATATCCAACATCAGTGGAATAACCTCCCACAGGATAATCCTTTCTCATCACCATCTCCAATCCCATTTCCTGTTTTTGTTTCTGTTTTTAATTGGCTGCTTTGTGTCTTTCTTACTGTGCATGGGCTTTGTCTAGTTGTGGAAAGTGGGAGCTACTCTCCAGTTGCCAGGTGTGGGCTTCTAGTTGCAGTAGCTTCTCTTGTTGTGGAGCACAGTAGTTGTGGCCTGGTGGGCTCAACATTTGCAGTTCATGGGCCCTACAGCTCAGGCTCAGTAACTGTGGTTCACAGGCTGAGCCACTCCAAGGGATGTGGGATCTTCCTGGACCAGGGATCGAACCGGCGTCCCATGTATTGCAAGGCAGATTCTTAACCACTGGACCACCAGGGAAGCCCCTCCCCTTGGTATTCTTATGTCATAGGGAAGTCAGAGTGAGGATAAGAAGAGCACACAGTTCCTGACCACAGGCCACCCTCACTTTAGTCCCAGTACCAGCTTTGAGCGAGGCCCAAATGTGATGAGGCAGGACTGTTGGAGAGAGTGTGTGTGTGACTGGGGGTCTTTGAGAGAGTTTGCAAGTTGTTATTTCTCTTCAGAGTTTTTTCCTTAATATTGAATTGATGGGATAGATTTAGCGGGTAGAGGGAGATGACAGTCAGAGCAGAAGAGTGGGTTGGGGTGGGGGAAATGGTGTAAGAGAAGCAGAGGGGAGGGGAGAAAGAAGGGGTTGTGGGCACCAGTCAGGCTGAATGTAGACCTTGTTATTTATCTTGTGGAGGGTTGTGAACAGAAGGATCACGGAGATGAACCCATGGTTTGGCTTCTGCTTATTTCTTGTTGGAACTTGAGGGATTTCATGTTCTTGCATGTGGAGGTTTTGGGAGCATTGAATAAGTACTGGGCAGTAAGGAACTAGCAAAAGTTAACTACAAAACTGCTTGTACCAAAAGGCAGCTGATGTGGGACAGGCAGAGGATATGAAATCGGGAGATCTGGGTTCAAATTCTTGCTTTCTTGCTCACTAGGCTTGTAATTTGGGGCAGGTCTCTTAATGTCTTCTGGCTTCAGTTCTGCTCAGTTCAGTTCAGTCACTCAGTAGCGTCCAACTCTGTGACCCCATGGACTGCAGCATGCCAGACCTCCCTGTCCATCACAAACTCCTGGAGTTTACTCAAACTCATGTCCATTGAGTCGGTGATGCCATCCAACCATCTCATCTGCTGTCGTCCCCTTCTCCTGCCTTCAGTCTCTTCCAGTGCTAAGAACTGAGTCAGTTCTTCACATCAGGTGGCCAAATATTGAAGTTTCAGCTTCAACATCAGTCCTTCCAATGAATATTCAGGGCTGATTTCTTTTAGGATAGACTGGTTGGCTCTCCTTGCCGTCCAAAGGACTCCCAAAATTCTCCTCCCAACACCACAGTTCAAAAGCATCAGTTCTTTGGCGCTCAGCTTTCTTTATGATCCAACTCTCACATCCATACATGACTACTGGAAAATCATAGCTTTGACTAGACGGACCTTTGTTGGCAAAGTAATGTCTCTGCTTTTTAATATGCTGTCTAGGTTGGTCATAACTTTTCTTCCAAGGAGTAAGCGTCTTTTAATTTCACGGCTTCAGTCAGTTCTGCTTCTGTAGAATAAAAAACAAAGCCTTGTAATTCCCTGGCAGTCCAGTGCTGAGGGCTTGGGTTTAGTCCCTGTTCACGGCCAATGGCTCAGTGGGTAAAGAATCCACCTGCAATGCAGGAGACACAGGAGACTCGGATTCAATCCCTGGGGCTAGAAGATCCCCTGGAGGAGGAAATGGCAACCCCTCCAGTATTCTTGCCTGAAAAATCTTATGGACAGAGGAGCCAGGTGGACTACAGTCCATGAGGTCGCAAAGAGTCAGACACAAAGCGACTAAGAATGCATGGGGAACCAAGATCCTGCAAGCCACCAAAAAAAGAAAAAACCAACAAAGCTAGCCCTTCCTGCTTGATAAGGTCATGCTGAGGATTAAATGAGATAATGGAGGAGAAAGCTCTCTAATCTGTAAAGCATTATGCAAATATTTGCTGTCTTCACCAGTGGTATCTGAAAAGGGTCAAGATGCCAGAGGACAGGGAAGTGAAAGCCAAGAACCCAGTGATGAAGGTGACACAGTATTTAACCTGCTATGTGGAGACAGGCCCTTCCCCATCTTACCCAGTTCAGAGACAGCCAGGCAGCTGCTGCTAGTGCATGTGGTTCTTCTGGAGCGTGTAATATGGGGGACAACGTACAGAGTGATGTCCGCTTCTAATCACTGTTTTGCAAAGCTGCTGATAGTCTGGGTTGTTTGCTAAAATGAAACCAGAAAGGCTATAAGTTTGAGAAGCAGATGAAATGCTGGAATGTGGTTAAGTTAAACCCTTGTGAAATGAACTTTTCACTTATTAAAGACAGCCACACCACACCTTGTCTTGGCTGGCATTTTCAGAGGGAGGCAGTATGATACGGGCTCTGGAATCAGATGTGCCTGGCTTCCAATTTAAACCCCGTAGGATTCTCAGTACTCCCTGATTTTAAACTTTTGGAGCAAGTCATTCACTCCTCCAAAACTTGCTTTCCTTGTCTGTAAAGTGGGGATGATAATGTCTACCACAGAACTATTCTGAGGATTTACAAGAGAGAATATATGTAAATTGCTTAGCACTTTTGCTCAGCATATAAATAAAAGCTCAGTAAATATTAGCTATTGTTATTATTGTTAACCTAGAGGGACTGAGTATGTTAAATGACTCCTCAGGCTTCCTGACAATGTCACCTTTGAGGAAGGGGCCCTGATTGAGCCACTGTCTGTGGGGATCCATGCCTGCCGGCGAGCTGGAGTCACCTTGGGGAACAAGGTCCTTGTGTGTGGAGCTGGTAAGAAACAGATGTCACTATGGTTATGAGTTCATTAAAGGGGAATGTGAGATCCCTCTGCCCATCTCATCCCCGCTCCAAGGGCTGAAATCAACTCTCGAATCTCTCTAGTTAGGATTACAGTGCGCCATTCCTTCAATGACAAGCACTGTGCTAGATAAATATTTGCAGGCAAGGTAGCTAACTAATGTTATTAACTAGGCAACATAACTCATTTGTTCACTTTAAAGAGTGCATTTTGGGATTATTTTTTCAACCCTTGGCAGGAAACTATGGAAATATTTTTTGGGATTAAAGGGAAGGGTATCTTTTGGAGCTTTCAGATCATCCCAGAGAATTGGTCTCCCAGTCTTTCAAGAATGAGATGGCTACTACTTAGGACCAGCAGGAGTGAGTCCCAGCCCATGGGGAGCCAGCACTCTGCCCACATAGGCTTACAGCTAGCTCCTTCTTCCTCCTCTGCTTCTACCCAGCTGAACAAACCTGGCAACCTCAGATTGAATCATCTAGGCTTCTAACTGTTTCAGGTGACCCAGACAATATGCTTCACTCCTTGTGGGTGTGATCTGGTATACACTTTTTTTTTATTACTGAGGTTTAACTGATGTATAACATTCTATTAGTCTCAGGTATGTAATATAGTGATTTTTATATTTGTGTATATTGCAAAATGATCACCACAATAAGTCTAGTCACCATCTGTCACCACATATAGTTATAAAAGTTTTTTCTCATGATGAGAACTTTAAGATCTGTTCTTTTAACAGCTTTCATATATGCAGTACAGTATTATTAAGTATAGTCACCATGCTGTACATTCGGTAACCAGGACTTATTTATTTTGTAACTGAAAGTGTGTACCTTTTGACCCTCTTCATCCATTTCTTCACTGCCACCACTACCTCTGGCAATCCAGTCTAGTCTCCATAAGTATGAGCTCAGGGTTTTTATGGCTGAATAATATTCCATGTGTATGTGTATACACCACATTTTCTCTGTCTGTTCATCCACTGATGAACACTTAGATGGGTTCCATGTCTTGGCTGTTGTAAATAATGCTGCAGTGATTATGGGAGTGGGGATACATTTTGAGTTAGTGCTTTTGTTTTCTTTGGATAAGATTCTACTTCTGAGCAGAAGTAGAATTGTCAGATCACATGGAAGTTCTAGTTTTAATTTTTAATTTAATCTCCATACTGTTTTCCATAGTGTCCGGACTGGTTTACATTCCCAACCAACAAATGCATAAGGTTTTCCTTTTCTCCATATCCTCCCTGACACCTGTTACTTGTTGTGTTTTTGATAAAAGCCTTGCTGACAGGTGTGCAGTGATATCTCTTTGTAATATTGATTTGAATTTCTCTGATTATTGATGTTGAGCATCTTTTCATGTTTATGTTGCCCATCTGTATATATTCTTTGGAAACATGTCAAGTCATATTCTCTGCCCATTTTTAAATTAGATTGTTTTTCTGCTGTTAAGTTGGGTAAGTTCTTTATATTTTTGGAGATTAATACCCGTATCAAATATATGATTTGCAAATATTTTTCTCCTACTCAACAAATTGCTTTTTTCATTTTGTTGATGTTTCCTTTGTTATGCAGAAGTTTTTTAGTTTGATATGGTCAGTTGTTTATTTTCTATTTTTATTTTTTTTGCCACACCATGCAGCTTGCAGTATCTTAGTTACCTGATCAAAGACTGAACCTGGGACCTTGGCAGTGAAAACATGGAGTCCTAACCACTGGACTGCCAGGGAATTTCCCACTTGTTTATTTTTGCTTTTATTGCCATTGTTTTTGCTGTCAAATCCAAAAACTCATCAAGACTGATGTCAAGGAGCTTACTACTTATGTTTTCTTCTAGGAGTTTTAGGGTTTCAGGTCTTATGTTCAAGTCATTAATCCATTTTGAGTTAATCCTTATACACTTTGTGACTGATTTTCTTTGGCAGGGCCAAATAAGTGACTGCAGGGCTTCCTATGAGGGGTGAGGGTGTAGAACAGATGTGCCCTATGTCAATAGTTAAGAGTTACATGACATATATTTTTTTTTCTTTTTTTTTTTGCCATACCACATGGCTTGTGGGATCTTAGGTTGTTGACCAGTGATCAAACCCATGCCATTGACAGAGAAAGCACAGGGTCCTAACAGTTGGACCTCCAGGGAATTCCTCTTTTTAATAGCTGTATAGTATCCTGCTATAGTTTACTTAACCTGTTTGTTGGCTATTTCCTAATGTTTTGCTTTCTGGGCAAACTCACTAGCTCACTTTTGGAGTGTCCAAAAAGTAGATCCTCAAAGGCATTCTGCATAACTTTATTTGTGGTCTGGTTTTTGTGTTAAAACCATCTAGCACACCGATAAAAATGGGGAAGCAGGTGATCTTTGGGCTGATTCTTAGGCACCCGAGCAATCTTGGAGCTGCCTGAGCAACTGGGTCAACCTAGGACATCCTGACAGGATGTCACAGGGGTCACCTTAAAGGATACGTCTCACCTTGGGGAGACGTGAGGGGTTCTGAAAAGGTGGGTAGGGGGCAAAGAGAACGGGAGCCCAGCACTGGGAGCAGATTCCAGGTAGGGAACAAGTACTCACGTGTTCATTCACTCATGCACTCAACAAACAGTTGTTAAGGTCTCACTGTAAGTCAGGGACTGGGGCAGAGATGCTAGAGGCCCACAGAAGATACAGTTCATGTCCCTGGCCTGGACAAGGGGGAGAGCTGGTGTTTGATATTTCAAAATTGTCTCCTATTTCCTCTTTTATTCAGGGCCAATTGGACTGGTCAGTTTGCTTGCAGCCAAGGCAATGGGTGCAGCTCAAGTGGTGGTGACTGGTAAGTTTTTCTTAAGAAAACCACTGATAGGGTTTTCTTCTTTCTAAATCTCCTTAAGGCAGGAGCAGCTGGGTCTACAGTTTTGAGGCAAGGGCATGAAACCTGTTTCCTTCCTGGAGTACTGGGTTTTTAGAGAGGCTCCTGCTCTTTTCTTCTGGGCTCCAGGGGATGACCAAGTCAGGGCTCAGAAGGAGATTCTTTTGAAGCTTCCAGGAGAGGGTGGCTGCTGCAGAAAAGAGAACCTGGCTCTTTATATGTGAATCTCAGATACTTATACTGCCCATTTGGTCCTAAGAAGAGACTCAGCTCTTGTTTGACCAAACTCAGAGGGTGTGTGTGTGTGTGAGTGGGTGTGTGATATGTTTATAAGAAGATGTTTATGTGTGAGATATGTGATATGAATGAGAGACATGAGTATGTATGTGTGAGGAGAGGCTATCTGACAGCATATGTGAGTATGTGAGTGTAGAGCGGTGTGGTATAAACGAAGCTGTGTGTATGTATGTGGAGAAGGCATCTGTGAGAGAGTATGTATGTATGTGTGTAACGTATCTGAGAGTATGTGGGTGAACATGTAGAGTTGTGTGCTGTATGGGGTGTTGTATTTTAGGGGAATGGGGTGCAGAAGGGTGTCACTGTGTGTTTTGTATGAGGAGGTGAGAGAGTATATGTGTGTATCTGTGGAGATCTATGTGGTAGGTTGGGGGTATATGGGGATATAGAAGAGTGTGCATGTTTGAGAAGTTATCGAGAGATTGTGTGTGTTCAAAGTGTGTGTGTTGGGCTCAGCCACACCACTACACAGAGCTTCCTTGCCATCAGAATCTGCATCTTCATTTTGGCTCCCTAATCCACTGTCCAGTCTCTTAGTTTGAAAGAAACTTTTGTTCACCTTTAGATCTGTCAGCCTCTCGGTTGTCTAAAGCCAAGGAAGTTGGGGCTGATTTCATCCTCCAGATCTCCAACGAGAGCCCTCAGGAAATAGCCAAGAAAGTGGAAGGCCTGCTGGGCAGCAAGCCAGAAGTCACAATTGAGTGCACAGGGGTGGAGACCTCCATCCAGGCCGGCATCTACGTGAGTAGGGATAAGGTGAAAGTGTTAAGTCAGTCATGTCCAACTCTTTGCGACCCAGTGGACTGCAGCCCACCAGGCTCCTCTGTCCACGGGATTCTCCAGGCAAGAATGCTGGAGCGGGTTGCCCTTCCCTTCTCCAGGGGACTGTTCCTGACCCAGGCGTTGACCCAGGTCTGCCGCACTGCAGACAGCTTCTTTACCATTTGAGCCATCAGGGGCCCAGTAGGAATAAGGGTAGCTGAAGCCGGTGGGCAGCTTCAGGTAAGCAGCCCGGGGTGGTGAACCAGTAGAAGGCTTCCTTGGATCAGACTTCACTGATTTGCTGTGTGGCACACACCCACCCCCGCACCCCACTCCCCCTGCAAAACAAAATTAGGTAATCCCTTGTTATCTTCTTTCTTATCTCTCTTATGAAGGTAATGACACTTCCCCAACATCCTCACTGGGTCACTGTGATGTTCAAACTGGGCCACAGATACACATGGGCCCTTCAAAGATGTTAAGTGGCTCATACCTTTAGGATAGGATTTTACCAAGTAGTGCTCTTGGTAAAAAAAAGAAAAAAGAAAGAAAAAAATCAATAGGAGGAACAGGGAACCATGCCTTATATGAGTGTGGGAAATCCCTATCTTGTTTTATTGAGGAAAACTGCAGTCTCTGAGTCATCGATACAAGATGACGGGCACTAATTCAGTTAGTTACAAAGGTGAGGTGAGTTTTTAGGGCCACAGTTGTCTTCTGCTGTCCCCTAGGAACAAATAAGCTGCCAATACCTGACCTACCCCTTAGCAACCCACCAGTAATTTATGGATGTTGGAAGGGGAGGGGCAGGGAGGAGTAGCACTGCCAAAGTATGAGGAAAAGAAAGAAGAGCTCAGCTCTGCTCTCCACCATGGGCCATGTTCTTGGCTGAGTGCTTTATAGACATGATCCTAATCTGCATAATAGCCCTGACAGTGAGTTCTCATTTTACACATTTTATGATGAGAGAAGCCCAGGGACTTGCCTGGAGCACACTACTCCAATACCTGGGCTTTCCTTGCTCCATCTGGCTGCTCCAGAGGGGAAGAGATTGAGGGGCCAGGAGCCAGTTTTGGGGTGGAAGGGGCTGGGCTGGGGAGAACGGTAGCAGCTGCCACCCCTGGGCACTCCTGCCCTGTCCCCCAGCCTGCTTTCTCACAACAGCACATGCCTCTGCCCTTCCTTCTGAGTCACACTGAGTTAAGCACAAGGGCACTTTCCACCATGCAAGACTTTTGGGAAAAGCTGATCCCTCAAGCTGTGTGGCACAGCCCTTGAGCCTGGCACTCAAGCAGAGCTGCCTTCCCCTCTTCCTACCAAGATGCCTGTGACCCCGGGGTGTCAGGGAAGCAACATGAGAGGGAGGAGCAGGTGCCACTTTTGCCCTGACCTGTTCCAGCCGGAATCAACCAGCTCTCAGCTCCACGGTCAGAGGTGGTCAGCGTCACCATGTGGGAATGGAGCTAAAACAAACCAAAATACAGCAGGCATTGAGCCTATGTGTTACTGGTGGAGCCATGTTGACCCATGGCATGTCTTGGGTTCCTGCTATATGCTTGGTTCTGTGCCAGACACCTTGAGGGCTTGACCAGTAAGGTGTGACTGCTGTTTTTGAGTCGTTCACAGGTCAGTGACCCCCCACTCAACAATGAGGCAGTAAAAGTTATGGCTTCATAGGGCAAGGCCTTCTTTCCTCTGTGCCCTGCCTGGAGGGCATCTGAGAACAGTTGGCATCTCCATTTGGTGGTGGTGGGCGCCCAGCTGCCAGTTACCTATGGTGGGTGTGGAGGTAATAAATGTGACACGAGGGCCTTGTGAAGCCTTCAGCCGGTGCATGTCCTGAGTCGGGAGTGGAGCCATCATGCATGACAGGTGCTGCCAAATGCTACAGCTCACTCTGCCAGTGGGCAGGTTAGGTGAAGGCACCTTATGAACATACCTTAGAGTCAATTTTCTGCCGTGTTGTGTCTGGATAATATTTATAAGGAGACCTAGCAAATGCTTGTGGTAGAATTGATGTCATCTCCTTGTTGTGAAAGTCACACCCACTAAGCAATGGCCTGAGCATTCCTTTGCCTGTGGTCAGTAAGCTACTGGCCTCCTGGCAGCTTGTGATGATCAGTTCAGTGGTGGTCCTCTCCCTTCTTACCAGGTAGAGAGGAAATGCTGAGTGGACAGCAGGTTTCCTGGGAAGTTTCTCAGTGTATTCCGTGGCTCACTCACCAAATCTGAACCCCTCCCCTCCAGTGAGGACAGCAACATTTTCCAGTCATGAGATACCCTTTCCTTGGCTGACAGTGTTTGTATGTCACAGGTGATCTGTAAGTGACTGCTCCTCATTTAAAACCGAAAATGAACTAAGCGTTGAGCCCATCCTAGTGCCAGCCTCTGTGACTGTTACCCCATCAGCTCTGCTATGGGAAGGCATCATTCCTATTCTTACACATGAGGAAACCATGGATGACAGCACCATCTCGGGGCCCACAGATCAAAAGTACAAATGCCAGCAGTCATCCCTACCCTGCAGACTTCTCTCCAGGATGTAACCTTCCCCTCGGAGACAAGCTGTGATGTGTGCTGTCTTAAATCTCTGTGGTTAGCACTTACAATGGCCCCCAGTAAGTGCTTTCTACTGTTAGCTATAATAAAAACTTAGCATGAGCAAATTGTCCATTTTACTGTCTCTCACTACTCTGAGCACAGTGATCCCCCCAAATCTCTGGAGCAGGCTCAGCACTTATGTAAAGTTATGTGGAGGTTGTCAGGGGAAATTTTGCTCTCCTGCCTACTCCAAAGAGGAAATTGATGACTCCATTATGACATACCATTGAGGTGAATGTCCCTGGAACAAAGATTTCTAATTGCCAGCCTTCATGTATAAGGCAGTTTTTATTTTTTAAAGCATTTTAATTAATTATTTATTGGCCACACAGCTTTTGGGATTTTTTATTTCCCCCACCAGGGATCGAACCTGTGCCCCCTGCAGTGGTAGCTAGGAGTCTTAACCATTGGACCACCAGGGAAGCCCCTAAGGCAGTTGTTGAACCACACAATTCCTATGCCCTCCCCATTGGTATAGTGTTTGGTAGTTGGTGGTCCCTTAGCTATTTGACCCTCTGTCTTGTGGGTGAGCACTCTGGAGGAGGAAGTGGCTGACACTGACATCTGGTACTAAGTAAAGCTTTGAAAGATGCTCAGAGGCTGCTGAAGAGTCAGCCTTGGTTGCAGGGGAGATCCTCATTGCTCTCTGGAGAAACTTTGCTATTTCCTGGGGTGCTGTGGGCAGCAGGAGATGCTCCCACTGGGCCTCCACTGGTAAAGTGCATTCAGGACCTTTAAAGGAGACCACATTCACTCTGCTGCTCTGTTGAGTTTGGTTAACATGCTAAAGAGTTCAGCTGTATAAAAAAAATCAAACTGTCAGAAATTTCTGGATATTTACCTGTTTTTATGGCAACAGTGGGCTTTCCACGTGTGCTAGTGGTAAAGAACCCACCTGCCAGTGAAGGAGACATAAGAGACACAGGTTCGATTCCTGAATTGGAAAGATCCCCTGGAGGGCATGGCAGCCCACCCCAGTACCCTTGCCTAGAGAATCCTGTGGACTGAGGTGCCTGGCAGGCTATAGTCCATGGGGTGGCAAAGAGTCAGACATGACTGAAGCGACTTAGCATGCATGCATCCACATGGCAACAGGGCTACTGTGAGTAGGGTCTGTATTTTCTCATTTTCTTTGTTTTCTGTCCTTACTTCTTCTTCAGGCCACTCATTCTGGTGGGACCCTGGTGCTGGTGGGGCTGGGCTCTGAGATGACCAGCGTGCCCCTTGTGCACGCAGCCACCAGGGAGGTGGACATCAAGGGCGTGTTTCGATACTGCAATACGTGAGTATGTTGTGGGTGAACCAGGCTGGCGAGCGGCCAGCAAGTCCAGGGGAGGCCCTCCACGGCCTCTGGGACCAAGAGGTTCTGTCTATTTATTCATGAGAGACACTCCCTGGCTGCATTGCGAGCCATGCGATATGATAAGGCTCCAAAGACAGAGCTGACAGGTCTGTAGGGAGAGAGGGAGGGAGGGAGATTGTGAGGCATGCTCTTCTTGAATGTCTGCCCCTCATTGCCCAGGCGCTCTCTTTTCCATTTCTAAGTGGCCAGATTTCCATCTTCCCTCTTTAAATAGAAGAAGGAAAGAAATGAGGACAACCACAAGAACTCAAGTTCCTTGGTTCCCACTTCTGGTCCCCAAGTCCCCCCCCGGGAAGTGACGGGATCTTAATAAATGCCAACATATGTTTTGTGGCTCAATCCTCTCCCTGCTGGGGAACTCTGTCCAGGACCATCTTCCCCACCAGTGGCCCTTTCTCCCATTTTAGAGTTTGTACCCGTCCCCTCAACAGAGTGCTGTTTTCCAGTGAACTCTGCCAAATGAACTGCTACACGGTGTGATTAGATCATCCTGGGCTGCCGCCCTGAGGCTATCTACCTTTTCACAGTGGCTTACATATGCCTTAGGCCTTCATGCCAGAGAAATTCTAGGCTTCATGGCAGACATTGCATTTGAGAACAGACTCCGTACTCCTGAATTACAAAAAACAAATAAGTGTGGCCAAGCTGATCTTCTTCTTGGTAGTTTTGGGGCCTTCCCTCTTTTCCACCTGAAGTTTGAGTGTAATGCTGTGATCTTTTTCAGATGGCCGATGGCGATTTCAATGCTTGCATCCAAGTCTGTGAATGTAAAGCCCTTGGTCACCCATCGGTTTCCTCTGGAGAAAGCTCTGGAGGCCTTTGAAACAACCAAAAAGGGTTTGGGGTTGAAAGTCATGATCAAGTGTGACCCCAATGACCAGAATCCATGATGTGACTTGAGCTCTGTTGTCCCCACTCTCAGCATGTTGGGGTTCACTGGTTGACTGGGAATGGTGGAAGTTTCTTTTGAGTAGTTAGAATAATTAAAATAATTCATTGTAAGCAGAGAGCCTTACGCTGGGGAGTTGTTGTGCCTTAAAAACACAAATAAGGAGAATTTGGGGGAACTTGTAGTCAGGATGACCTGTTTATGCTGATCAAAGTTCAAGTAGAGCAGAGCTTGGCAGGCAAGTGCTGGGAACTCCCCTTCTTCCTGGAGTGCCTGGAAGTTGAATAAGGAAAGAAATCTGCCTATTGAATTCCTGCTTCTAGTGTGACTGTGGCCAGATGGGAGATGGTAGCTCAGGTAAGAAGAGACAATTTACAGCTTTATCAAGACTTAAGTGGCCCAGAACCTGATTTTCACAAAAATCTGCAGCTCCGGGTTGAGAGTAAAAGGTTGTGAATAATTTTACTTCAGAACACAGTGCCTCTGCCTCGAAACAGGGCTATTTGGTTTGACGACAAAAGGAGAATAAGGGACTCACTTTCCTGGATCTAGGACGTATAAAAATCAAACAAATAAAACTGCAATCTCATGTGTAATCAAACCAGCTTGTATTCCTTAATTGTAGAAATAGACAAGGAACTTTGCAGCCCTGCTTGGAGAATTACCTCTTCAGATCCTGAGAATTCTGTGTGACTTATTTTGCAAGGTGAAGAATCACCTTCCCAATGTGCCTGACCTGCACCCTTTTGCACATTTGGGGGCAGCCACTGCAGGCTTCTTTGTTACTAGGCAGCCAGGAGGTGCCTACCTAAGGACAGACATTGGGAGTCCTCATGGTAGACCTTAAATTGCGTTCAGACTAGCCCAGGAGAGTTTGGGCAGTACACCTGTCTTACCCCACAGGATTAGCATGCCATTCTAGGCTCAAAGCTCACTAATGATTATTAGACAATTTGTTTAGTTCCAGTCTTCATGAGCAGGAAACTTTTTCCCTCCTCAGAGCCAGTTAAGGGTCTTGGTACCTTTCTTTCTGATTGAGTGATAGCTCTGACCTTGTCTGTTTTAATTATGGGAGTTTCCTGGGTAAGATTGGGGTCTAAAACACACCATGCCATTTGTGACTTTGAGGTTACTGGTCACGAATGAGGATACAGTAGCTGGGACATGATTTGGGCTGCAGTCCTACCCCTCAGTTCAGCTAGGGTTGGCGGGTGAGTTTGAAGAGGTTCTGGTTTTCTTGTGACCAGGGAAGGCTGTAACCAGTGCCTGGAGTTCCTCAAACTGATTTGGGTAATAAATTCTGCTTGTAGTACATGACTGCTACCTCCATTTGTGGGCTTGTTTGGGGAGAAATTGACTTTGGCTACCCGTTTCACAAAAGGAAACATCTGGGGTTTTTGAGAGTGACTCATTTTCTGCATCAAGTACAATTTTCACTGACTGTTGAAAACTTAATGATCTCTAATCCTCACAGCAAGCCAAATATAATTATTTTACAACTAAGAAAATAGAGAAATCAAGTAATTTGCTTGAGATCTCACACTGCTTTTCATTTCTCGGGTTATCTTTGGAGTTATCTTGAGTTTACACACAGCACACACACACACTCAGGAGTCACACCACTTCCTTCCCTAAGTCCTGTTTAGATAGGGCCAAACTTGCTGGCTCCCTTCTCTTAAAACTCTTTCCAGCTCAGTGATGCCCGACGTTCTTGAACGTGGGCTGAGAAAGACTCTTCCCTTTGTAGATGGAAGTCTTCCAATAGAAATACCCTTAAAGGAGGTGGACTCACTATGTTAAATTCACAAGTAGCCACTCTTCCTCTGATTGTGATTCGGTGGAGGGAGGAAGGCACTGAACCTGAAAAGGACTTAGGAGTTGCAGTGGGGACTCCTGGAAAGGTAAGGCCACCAAGGACAAAAACATGTGGCTCACTTCACAATGGTGATGGGGCTAGATCTTCTATGTTAAGGTCTTGGAGCCTCTACTCCCTGGTCCGTTTAATGGGCTTCCTGATACCTCCATGTGAGCAGTTTCAAGGAGTGAATGGGCTGGTTGAAACCAGTTCAGGAAACACTTTCCATTTCCAAATCCCCCCAGAGCTCTACCTACTTTGATGTTTGACAGCTTCCGAAGCAGGGGCAGAGAGCGTGGTTGGTGGGAGAGGAAGTGGTATGGGATGAGATGCCAGCAAGTCCTCCAGGTCGCGAGAGGACCCAAGTCAGTGAACTGAGCTGTTGCTGGGGCTCCTTCTTCTCTGCATCCATATTAAGACGTTCCCTCCACTGTTTGGAAGGGTTGTGGGAAGCCCAGAAATTCAGTTCTTCTGCCACCTTCCCTAATTCAATAAATATTGATTCAGTGAATCAGTTCCGGAAACAAGAATATGAATTCCCCACGAGCTCCCCAAACTTGGGTGGCCTTGCGGCCTGTGTGCTCTATCACTGTTGTGTGGCACCAGTTAATACTGAAGACCCCACCCAGCTGGCACTCCCAACTTGGGTGGAGAGCTGAGAAGAAGGACCCTGCCAGCAGGGTAAAGGGTGCAAGGGGCAGGCTGCCCTCTGGACCTCAAAGGAGAGGGGGACACCCCTCCAACCACTTCCTCTTGCCATCCACATTTGGCTATGGTGGATGCTGTCATAAGTCGCTTCTGGATCCCCCGTCCCTGAGTGTCAGGCCATCTCAGTCTCACTTCTGTGTAACACAGTCCTGCCTCTTCCTTCCTGGTTCCTATCTTGCTCCCATTGGGAGAGCAAAGGAGTCTCATGGGAACTCGGTTGGATCAGAGGTTAAGAGTTGGGGGGAGAGAGAGAATTTACTGGATATTTGCCTTTTCCCAGACTGTCCTCTGCACACGATATCAGTCTGGGCTTAGAGTACAGAAGCCAATATACAGGACCCACGTGCCTGGGTAGCAGGCAGGTCTCCAACTTCACTGTCGCATCCACACACCGCAGTCACCGAGGCCCGTGAGGGCTCAGAGAGGGCGGCAGTGAGGCGGCCTGGCTGGGAACTCATCACCCTAGGGGAGCGTCTGTCAGGCAGCAGCAGAGGCTGTCTGGTGTAGCCAATGCCGTCCTGAAGCAGCACAGCCGCACTCCCATGGCCTTCCTCTCTCCCTGCTGACTGTCCTCTCTACTTAAAGCCTTGGCTGAGTCAGACCCTTACGTCTTTCCGTGGGCACCTACAAGTGGTACAGGATGCATGCAAGGTGTTCCTGCCAAAAGATCTTTCAGTGGATCTTCTCATCAGCGGGAGCTTCTTGAAGGTGATATGTTGGAGAGAAGCCTCTGTCCTCTAGGGTCTTGCACCCATCAGGCCTACAAGAGGCAGCTTGTTGTGAAGGACTTGGTGCAGGAGTCCTGGGTTGTTTCTAATCCCAGCCCTGCAGCTAACTCACTGTGTGACTTCCCAAGTCACTTTCCCAATTCAGGCCTTGGTTTCCTCCATTGTTAATGGAAGGGTTGCACTGGATGATCTTAAGGTCTCTGAGTGCTGGTATTTCACAAGGTTCCCATCATCCAGAAGCCCTGTGGAGTAAGGACCCCTTTAGGGGTGTCCCTCAGGCTCTCGATGTGAGTGCTCTTCTTGGGTTTCAGCTCCAGTCTTGTCTGTATGTTAATGGGTGGCTGGAGGGAGGAGAAAGGAGTTGTCTGTAGGAACACCCAAGTTCTTGGCATCACCTTATTCTACTCCTTAGCCTTAGGCTCTCAGGTGTGATCCTGAGGTGGAGGTTGCAGGCCCAGAGCTGGGCCTGGGGAGGTGTGGCCCCATCATTGACTTCCCTGTGTGTGGGCAAAGGCACAGCCTGGCTGTGGTTCTCCATGTAGGACCCCCAGGCCGGGGAGCCTGATGTGGGACTTGGTTCCCTTGCTCAATGGGGAGAGCCTCTGCAGTTGTAGTTATCCTCCCATTTGTGGGTCATTCACTGGGGGATGTGCGACTTGACTATACAGCCCCTCCTGCTTGTCTTGTTGTGAGTCCTTTATTCCTCTCTTGGCTGTGCTGGGTCTTCACTGCTGGCATGTGGGCTTTCTTCAGTTGTGGCGCAAGGACTTCTGGTTGCAGGGTGCAGGCTTCTCTAGTTGATGATTGAGAGCTCTAGAGTACCTGGGCTTTCCAGCTATGGTGCACAGGCCTCGCTGCTCTGTGGCACGTGGAATCTTAGCTCCCTGACCAGGGACCAAACCTATGTCCCTTGAATTGGAAGGCAGACCCCCAACCACTGGACCACCAGGGAAGTCCTGTGATTCCTTCTTTACATCTTTAGTTGTAGATCTTTTCCGCTAGTTTTCAGGTCTTTCTCATTAATAATCTGCTTTGTAAATAGTTGTAATTTTGGTGTGCCTGGGCGGGAAGGTGAGCTCAGGGTCTTCCTGCTCCACCATCTTGGCCACTCCCTTAACTGTGTCACACATCATTATTCTATATCACCATATCCCATCATATGGATATATACCATTATTTATAAAGCAAATCACAGTGGTTTGGATATTTGGAAACTCTGCAGGGTTTTGAGCTTATGATAAAGTTTCAGTGACTATCCTTGTACATACATTTTCATACTTATAACTTACTCCTTCCTGAAGTTGTATTTTAGAATGACAATAGCTGGGTTGAAGAGTATACACCTTTTAAAGGTGACTTGGTTAGAAAAGAAAACAGAATATTGAGACCACCTAAGAAAATCTGAGTTTGGGTATGCCTGAGTCCATGTACAGTGTGAGGATTCTGCAGAATGGGAGAGCTTTCAGAGATGGGGCCATGCAGCCACCGGCTCTCTGGCTTCAGGCCAACACTGGGAAAGCTGGAGACTTGGGCCTTCACCATCTGTAACCTGAACAGGACACCATTTCTTCAGGCCTTCATCTTCTTATTAGTAAACTCAGTATCCCTTCTAGCAGGATGTGAGAAAAAATGGCCCCTGTATAAGGCTGGCGTAGGATTCATGGGGAGCTGTGACTGGATCACTGTGGCGCAGGGGACCCTCCCCTGTAA